CATGAGATATAATTATATGTCTGTCATATATTTTGGAGGTATAATTTCAGGCATGTGTGAATGTTGAATTGTACAAGAACTAGAATGGTCATATATATATATATATATATATATATATATATATATATATATATATATATATATATATATATATATATATATATATAGTATTGCTTAATGTACCCTGTAGGTCTTCGTATATAATATCGTCTACATCATTGAGCTACAATTATGAAACGTTGACAGGAGCCATCGCAAAGCTAAAATCCTGTGACAGCCCCAAAACATTGCTGTTACCTAACTCATGTAGTGTAACAAGATGTGCTATAAGAAGGTGTTCTATAAGGAGATGTGCTATAAGATGTGCTATAAGGAGATGTGCTATAAGGTGTTCTATAACAAGATGTGATATAACACGATGTGCTATAACGAAATTTGCTATAACGAGATGTATTTGTAACAAGATGTGCTGTAACAAAATGTGCTATAACAAGATGTGCTATAAAGAGATGTGCGTGTAACTAAATGTGCTTTAAAAAGATGTGCTATAAAGAAATGCTGTAACAAAATGTGCTATAACAAACGTGATATAACAAAATGTGCTATAACAAGATGAGCTATAACAAGATGTGTTATAACAAACTGTGCTATAACAAGATGTGCTATAAAGAGATATGCTATAACAAGATGTGCTATAAGGAGATGTGCTATAAAGAGATATGCTATAACAAGATGTGCTATAACAAGATGTGCTATAACAAGAAGTGCTATAACAAGCTGTGCTATAACAAGATGTGCTATAACAAGATGTGCTATAAAGAGATATGCTATAACAAGATGTGCTATAACAAGATGTGCTATAACAAGATATGTTGTAACAAGAAGTGCTATAACAAGCTGTGCTATAACAAACGTGCTATAACAAACGTGCTATAACAAGATGTGTTATAACTAGATGTGCTATAACAAGATGTGCTATAACAAGATGTGCTATAACAAGATGTGCTATAACAAGATGTGCTATAAAGAGATGTGCTGTATGGAGTTACCTCTGACAAGTTTATGGCCTAGCCCGGGGCCGCTATGGGCCGTGGTTGTTATCTTGTGAGGGCAGGACTACCTGATATGGTATTATTCCCTTGTGTGTATATGTGCTGGGGGGAGGGTGGGGATTGTTGACCTTTTGTTGATGTACTGTTATTGTACTACACCGCCTGATGATTCAGTTTTTAGGAATTACAACGTCTACATATAGTGTCTAGCAAGAGAAAGTGGGGGTAGGTAATTTGGTCTATAAGTTTTACTGCAACATTATTTTCTTTAAAAAAAAATTTACCGCAGCATTTTATTTTTCGAAATTATATATTTATTGAATCGCTTTTACTTTTTTAAAATTTATTCTTTTATCAGTTTAAAGTCACCATACACTTTCTATCCATTTCCACATGCAGTTTTGTTATATAAGACTATATATCTCATTATGTATTCTTTTTATTATTGCAAAAGTATGATTTTAAAACAGCAATATCATACAATTACATGATTTCAAAGTTGATTTTTACATTTGTTTTGTTGATCCTTTGATCAGCTTAAGATCGCGTTAGATTTTATTTGGCAGATCACGTGGACATCACGTGAAACATGGAGCTTATATTTCCACGTTGGAACCTGTCTATTTTTAGACCACTCACCACAACGCTGCCCAATCGGCTGACCCACTCACACTGTCTCCAATCGTGGGAAACGAAAGTACTCTAAAAAAGGAAACACGGGGGCTAAAAATACAATTCAAAATATGCCATTCACACATTCATCTGTTGATTGTGATTCAGATACAGCAGAGAGTCGCGATGGCTGCCCCGGGCAAAACTGTAAAGTTTATATTTAGCCTGGGTTCGAGAGTAGCTAGCCTACATTCTTCCTTGATGTGTAGCGGTGGACAAATGTATATAACCCACATTCTTCCGAGATGTGTTTATATATGTGCTCACAATCCTCTTATCTTAAAATTGATACAGAATTTTTTTTTTTCTTGAAGTGAATTGAAATTTCATGTGCGTCAAATATTATCTTAGAGTTGATTTGGAGCTTCTTATGCTTCTAACATTATCTTTAAAAGTGTATTTTAATTTGCATGTGCTTCTAATATTGTATTAAATTTTATTTTGAAGTTACTGTGCTTCTGATATTATCTTAAAGTGGATTTAAAATTTCGCGTGCTTCTAACATTAAGTTAGTTTGTTTTTATTTTCCTATCTTCCACTGTTACATTTAAGCTGATTTAGAATTTTGTTTTCCCAATATTATATTAAAATTGATTTGGAATTTCTAATATTATATTGAAGTTGATTTGAAGTTTTGAAAAAAAAACCATTCCAAATGTATCAAAACATCGTGTCTAGTTCTAAGCTTGTTTAGTTGATTCTTTCCAAACTAGCCTAACTTCATAGAGATTTCTATATAAATAACTTTTTTGTGTGACTTCTTAATTCCTTTCTGTGCGAATTTTCTATGTCAAAATGAGTTCATTGGACGATAAATCAAGACCGGAATCCCGCCTGCTACTTTTGGCGGGAAGATTTAAGCAAGTCCAGACGATCAACGGACTCTCTTATCACGTGATCAAACGGTCCGTTAAGTTCCAGGTACAGTTGTTCACATTGAAAAATTGGGAAAGTTCCAGAAAAAATCTGTAACTTCCTTGAAGTCCGCGCAGTCAGTAATTTTGTGTTGTTTGACTTGAAAACTTACAATTGAATTATTGAGTCAATATCACTCTACAATCTCAGTAGAAGAGGGGAAAAAAGGTTATGTTGTATCTTGGATCTCTGATTGTTTTTTCTCCTTTAAAAGCATGTTTGTTTTATTTCTCTAAAACATACCAAGAGTATTAATTAACTTATCTTTTTTTTAATTAATAAATTTAACTGTTGTAGAAAAAAAAAAAGAAAACTTTCATCATCGGATAATCACTGTGTTATCTCCCTTTGATGTTGAATTTAATAGGCTATGCGGACGTGTGCACGATTGTGTGTGTGGGGGGGGGGGGGGGGGGGTGTCAGTGAGAGAGCATAAAAGAATGCGTTTTGGTGTGTATGTGTTTGTGTGTGTGGGTGGATATACGAAAACGCGTGTTTTTTTTTAATATGTTCGTGTGAGTATATGTGTATGTGATGGTAAATATGTGTGTATCAGTTTGTGTGAATGTGTGTCACTGAGTATATGAGAGCCTCTTTGAGACGGTGTGTGTACATACGTCTATATGTGCGCGTGTATGTGCGTGTGATGTACGTGTGTATCCCTTAGTATGAGGGTGTGTCAGAGCGTATTTGAGAGCCTGTTTGCGACGGTGTATACACATGTGTTAGTAAGTATAAATGTGCGTCTGTATGTCTGTATGTATGTGTGCGTGTGATGTACATGTGTGTATATGTGTACGTCTGTATGTATATGTAGGTGTGCACTTCTGTATGTACGTGTAAATGTACGTCTTCATATGCGTGTTTTGTACGTGTGTATGAAGATGTTAATATATATCAGGGGTCTCCAAACTTTTCAGTCCGAGGGCCGCATTAACTATCAAATTTCAGTTCGGGGGCCAGTTTCTTTCAGGCATGTCTTTTATTTCTCTGGGCAAAGTTTCTCAGCCATCACCAACGAGCGTTTTTTCCGTTGACAAAAAGATCTCCGCGGGCCGGATGAGAGGACATCGCGGGCCGCATCCGGCCCGCGGGCCGTAGTTTGGAGACCCCTGATATATATGAATACGTCTGAATATGCGTGGACATGTATGTGTGTATATATATGTATGTGTATATGGACGTGTATGTGCATGTCGTGCGTGTGTAAGTGTATATGCACGCAAGAATACACATGTGTATACACGTGTTTAAGCATGTGTATGTACGTGTGTATGTGTGTACGTGTGTCTGCAGCTGTGTCTGCCAGTATGCGTGTATGTGTTTCGACGAACACGTTGGATACCACGGGTGGTAATTAAACCCACTCTGCTGTATGGCTAAAAGAGGGGAGGGAAGTGGAGCTTGATTGGTGTTTAATTAAGCTTGATTTCGGTTCTATTTTTAGACGCGCACGCATAGCAGGGTGAGCAGTCTGTGAATGAAATAATGGTGCTGGGCGGAGACTGAAAATGTCAAATAGGCAAAAAAAAAAATATTACATGGCCGTGAATGTTCTGCTTGCTAGTTTAGTTGGTGTCTTTCTATGTGATTGTGTGAGTTTATGTGCGTGTGTGTGCGCATGTGTGGGTTTGTATCGTTTGATGTGGTTTTAGTAAGTTTACATGTAGTCTGTGTGTGGGTTTTTAATTACTTAATTGCTAATTTATTTCCTGGACAAAAATTGTGAAATAAAATTCTAAATAAAAACCAGGAACATACCCCGAGACTTTAAATATATATCTCATTGTATATCCTTTTAAAATGAAAAACATACTCGGACATATAACTCAACATATGACGTAAAATAAATTTATAAATAGTACTACAATGATAACTATAAATATAAACATAAATAGACTCTATAACTTCACATAAAACCGTATGCATAACCTTTTATAAAGTTTACATATAACCCTAATTAATTGATGTAATTAATTAGTTATTGTTTAATTCTCAAGAGTGTGTGAGCATGTGACGTTATGTACATTGACACCCCCCCCCCCCTCCCCTCTTACCTTCTCCAAACCGCACAATTCAGTCCTGATTCACACAATCCCGCTTTACGCCACGCTTCTCAACCAACCGTCCACTCCATCAGTGGTCATTACATCACCCCCCCCCCCCCCCCACCTTGATTAAAGGTTCATCTCCGCTGAGCGCCGGTCACTCCGCCCGACCCCCGCGCCGGTCACTCCGCCCGACCCCCCTACGGGCCCAACACTTCCGCCGCTTGACCACCGGACCATTGTTTATTTCCAGACTTGTGACCAGCCGAGGCGACGAGAGAGAGAGAGGGAGAGAGAGAGGAGAGAAGAAAAAAATTGGGAATCCCCGGAACCTTTACGTCGACAGCACTCGTCCCCGTGGGGACGGGGCGGGTAGTAAAGGTCGGACCCAGACCATAAGTCACCGACGGCGTGGTGGATTGAATCCTTACACCTACAACTATTGAGCAAGACGTAGCACCATTCTACTGATTGTTTAAAGCTCGGGTAAGTCAATTTTTATTTATTTCAATTGTGTATCTGTGTGTGTGTGTTGTGAATGTCCTAAAGCCCGAAATCAAAATGGAGGGTTTGTTTACGTTGGCAAGCTATTTTTGTTCAAACGGGAGTTCCCAAACTTTCAATACCAGTTTCGTTTCTGTTTATTGATGTATAGTTTGTAGACTCCATGCGTATCAATATACATTAATGTTGATCCTTGCATTACATGGATACGATTGATTTATGATCCTTCAGTGTATTAATGAGTGTTAGCTATTGTTATACGTTACATGTGTTATTGATTTCTGTAGTTGTGAGTTGATAGTGTCGATGTATTGTTGATAGTGAACTGGTATCTAATCTTGAATGTTGATAGTATCAACGTAACCACAATAGTGATTTTATCAAAGTAGTCTAGCGTATAATGTTGATAGTAGAAAGGCTACAAACGTGGATAGTATTAATGTTTTATTGTATAATATTGATTGTGAAAAATTAACGAATAATGTTGATAGTGAAACATTATAATATTGATAATGCAAGATGTATGTATAATGTCAATAGATAATGTCAGTGTCCTATCTTCAAAAGTGAATCAATTACCACCATTTGTGGTACTGTGTGTTGTACCATAAGCTAACCACCATTTGTGGTACTGTGTGTTGCACCATAAACTAACCACCAACTGTGGTGCTGTACTTTGTACTATAAGCTAACCACCAACTGTGGTGCTGTATGTTGTACCATAAGATACCCCCCCCCCAACTCTAGTGCTTTATGTTGCACCATAAGCTAACCACCAACTGTGGTACTGTATTTTGCACCAATAGCTAACCCCCTTGTACCATAAGCTAACCACCAACCACCAACTATCGTACTGTGTGTTGTACCATAAGCTAATCACCAACTGTGATGGTGTATTTTGTACCATAAGCTAACCACCAACTGTGATGGTGTATGTTGTACCATAAGCTAACCATTAACTGTGATGGTGTATGTTGTACCATATACTAACCAACAACTGTGGTACTGTATGTTCTACCATAAGCTAACCACCAACCACAAAATATGGGACTGTATGTTCTACCATAAGCTAACCACCAAACACCAGTGTGGTACTGTATGTTGTACCATAAGATAACCACCAACTGTGGTGCTGTATGTTGTACCATAAACTAACCACCAACTGTGGTGCTGTATGTTGCACCATAATCTAACCACCAACTGTGATACCATATGTTGTACCATACGCTAACCACCAACCACTACCACTGTGCGTGAACTCTAACATTACCTCCCCTACTTTTAACCTCTCCCCCCCCTCCCCCACCCACCCACTTTTCCCTTCCCGCGGATTAAAAAAAAAAGTCCCGTCATGTAAATCTGGCACGTTCAGCATTGTAATAGAACAATGTTAGTGGTGTCCCCTTGATCTGATACGGTAGTACACGCTACCCCTGCTACACAGTAGCCCTGCTCAATGCTACATTCAGTTCGCTTATCTCTTTCAGATACGGTACTGTTTAAAATACGGTGCTGGTTACTATTAAAATACACTACTTGGTACTGTGACATTAAGTACTGGTTACTGTAAAATAGACTAACATATTAATATTATATCGGGTTGTAGAATGCGGTACTTCTGATTATAGAAAAAAAAATATATTTCGAAAACAGAGACTCATACTTCTTTACCAATTCACAATCAAATAAATGAATGAATGAAAATTATTAGAAATGAAATAGATTAATAGTTCACAATTGGAGAAAATAATTTACAGTAAAAGAGAATAACAGTTCATAGTGTAAAAACAAAAAAGAAAGATTCACAATGAAAAGAAAATAACAATTTATACGAATTCGCCATGAAATAAAATAACAATTGAAAAATGACATAGATTAATGATTCAAATTCAGAGAAAACAATTCATAGTTAAAGAAAGGAATTCACAATGTAAGATATTAACTGTTTACAATGTAAGGGGGAAAAATTATTCACAAATAAAGAAAACAATTCACAATGATTAAAAAAAATCGGTTATCAATGAAATAATATAACGTTTCATAATTTATACAAAATAACACAACACAGTGAAAGAAAATAGTTAACAATTTAAGAAAATAAAAATTCTCAATTAAAGAAAATGAAAGAAACAAATTCAGATTGTAAAAATTTGACCATTTACAATGAAAAACTAACCATCCACAATGTAAGAAAATAACAGTTGACAAGAAGAGAGAATAAAGTAGCGTAACATTGTTGGCCAATCAATACCACGGTTCAGCTAAACGGTGATTAAATGAGTGGGTTTCATCCGTCATTAGCTAACATCGACGGCCGTGTTGTCTACGGTCCCTTTGTCAGTGGCGTGCTACACAACTGCTTAAAGCTATTCTATGCTGGCTATACCAATGGTGGAAAGATATTCTATGCAGATATTATATGCAGGCTGTACCAATGGTGTAAAGATATTCTATGCAGATATTCTAGACAGGCTATGTCAATGGTGTACAGATACTTTATGCAGATATTCTATGCAGATATTTTATGCAGATATTCTATGCAGGATATACCAATGGTGTAAAGATACTATATGCTGATATTCTATGCAGATATTCTAAGCAGGCTATACCAATGGTGTACAGATACTTTATGCAGATATTCTATGCAGATATTCTATGCAGGCTATACCAATGGTGTAAAGATATTCTATGCAGATATTCTGGACAGGCTATATCAATGGTGTACAGATACTTTATGCAGATATTCTATGCAGATATTCTATGCAGGCTATACCAATGGTGTAAAGATATTCTATGCAGATATTCTATACAGGCTACAATACACCATTAATGTAAAGATATTTTATGGAGTCTATACCATTGGTGTAAAGATATTCTATACACGCCAATATTAGTTAATGTGGGGACGACTCAATATCAATGGGGGGAGGGGAGGGGGTTTAATCGTCATGTAGTTTAGTGGCCGCTACCTTGACACACCTCGCTTCAGTCCCTGCTCAACCTTCAATTCTTTTGTTAAATCTTCATGTTGTCTTCAGGATTACTCAGCTCAAATGGGTACCCAGCGTACATATTTGTATCCTCCCTCACACCTGTAACTAAACCGATTCTTCTCACGTGACCGCTTTAAGTAATATCTAGCATTGTAAATCTCCAGAAAATATTCACCCCATCAAATGGATATGTTAAAAAAATCCTTTGGCTACTAGGTAGCATACAGTGTTATGACATTGGGGGTAGTTTCCACATGGAGATAAACAATGAAAGTCAAAGAGTACAAAACCAGCTGACGTAAGCATATATTTTAAATATATTTTTTATCGTAGCCAAAAGATGAAGAACTACAATTGAAGGAAAACGTGATGTGACATAAGAGTTTACAATTAGTCACTGTTGAACGTCCTACCGTCATTGTGGTGATTCTGTCTGTGCTTTTTACATCTACCAAATCTACAGGCCTTATAACAATTATAATATTTAACTTTCACAAGTCGCAAAATGTATTATTTATATTCATTTAAGTATATTCATTTCATATACGGCTTACTCAAAAATCTCAAGTTCGGATCCCAGGATCGAGTCTATAAAATGTCTTTGAATCCACCCAGTTCTGATGGGTAGGATGCATGGCTCACGCTAGGGGAAACTAAGACAACTGTACATAGTGCTGACCACTCTATTCCCACGTATTCCGAGGTCATTAAAGCCCTGCCTCTTCTATCTCTTCATATGCCGAGGTCACAGAAACAAGTGAACTCTACTTCATTTGCCCCATAGACCGTCAGGTTTGAAAGGGAAACTTTTACTTTCTTCTGCCCTGTGTGTCTTGGGCTCGACGATAACGGCATACGATGATGATGGGTGTACACAGTATTGTGTGTACACATGTATAACGTATGATGATGGGTGTACACAGTATTGTGTGTACACATGTATAACGTATGATGATGGGTGTACACAGTATTGTGTGTACACGTGTATAAACGTATGATGATGGGTGTACACAGTATTGTGTGTACACGTGTATAACGTATGATGATGATGATGGGTGTATACAGTATTGTGTGTACACGTGTACACAGTATTGTGTGTACACGTGTATAAACGTATGATGATGATGGGTTACACAGTATTGTGTGTACACGTGTATAACCGTATGATGATGATGGGTGCATACAGTATTGCGTGTAGGCCTAAATGTGTACAAACGACGCTGCTGTGATTGTAAGCTGACTGTCCACCAATGCCCACTTACCTGAAAATAAAGGAACTTTATGTTCTAATTATACACGTCTCATTCCATTTGCTTTGTATTGACGCTATATGTCTACTAATTTTTTTGTTAAACATGCACTGCGCTATAACATTTCTTGACTTGTATGCTGTACTAAACGTACGGTAAATGCACATTAATTCTGTAAATCATCCCCTAACGTTTTAAATGTAAAGAAAGAAATGTCTAAAGCAACAAGCTTCAAAGGGTAAACAGCATGACTGTAGGAAGTAGGCTTGTTTAGAAAACAGTAGAAGCTAATTAATTTATCTCTGGTCTGTGCGGTTTCCATCAAAACATTCGCCTGCATGAGGGCGCCACTCCCTTTCTGTGTTTACACAACATAAATAAATAAATATATATATATATATATATATAAATATATATATATATATATATATATATTTATATATATATATATATATATATATACATTTTTATTTATTTATGTTGTGTAATATATGTATATATATGTATATATATGTATATATATATATATATATATATATATATATATATATATATATATATATATATATATATATATATATATATATATATATATATATATATATATATACATATACATATACATATACATATATATAAGAACATCTTTAAAATATGTTGGTGTTTATTGGCCCCCATGCCCCAACCCAACCCGTTCTTCTGCAAGTCACCCTCTACCTTTCTTTTATTGTATTATAATCTCTCCCCCCACCCTCCTTCTCCTCCCTACACATTGTCCCACCTTCCTTATCTGTATGTTAACTATCTAACTAAACACGTTTGTAAGGTTATCCTGTGTTATGTATTTAACTATCCACATATCACGTTTGTAAAGCTATACTGTGGTATGTATTTAACTATCCACCTATCACGTTTGTAAAGCTATACTCTGGTATGTATTTAACTATCCACATATTACGTTTGTAAAGCTATACTGTGGTATGTATTTAACTATCCACCTATCACGTTTGTAAAGCTATCCTGTGGTATGTATTTAACTATCCACATATCACGTTTGTAAAGCTATCCTGTGGTATGTATTTAACTATCCACCTATCACGTTTGTAAGGCTATACTGTGGTATGTATTTAACTATCCACCTATCACGTTTGTAAAGCTATACTGTGGTATGTATTTAACTATCCACCTATCACGTTTGTAAAGCTATACTGTGGTATGTATTTAACTATCCACCTATCACGTTTGTAAAGCTATACTATGGTATGTATTTAACTATCCACCTATCACGTTTGTAAAGCTATACTGTGGTATGTATTTAACTATCCACCTATCACGTTTGTAAAGCTATACTGTGGTATGTATTTAACTATCCACCTATCACGTTTGTAAAGCTATACTGTGGTATGTATTTAACTATCCACCAATCAAGTTTGTAAAGCTATACTATGGTATGTATTTAACTATCCACCTATCACGTTTGTAAAGCTATACTATGGTATGTATTTAACTATCCACCTATCACGTTTGTAAAGCTATACTGTGTTATGTATTTAACTATCCACCTATCACGTTTGTAAAGCTATACTGTGGTATGTATTTAACTATCCACCTATCACGTTTGTAAAGCTATACTGTGGTATGTATTTAACTATCCACCTATCACGTTTGTAAGGCTATACTGTGGTATGTATTTAACTATCCACCTATCACGTTTGTAAAGCTATACTGTGGTATGTATTTAACTATCCACCTATCACGTTTGTAAAGCTATACAGTGGTATGTATTTAACTATCCACCTATCACGTTTGTAAAGCTATACTGTGGTATGTATTAGCCTCACCTATCCCTCAGCGTTTCTTGTTAATGCCTTTATAAAAAAAAAGTTGTGTTTTTAAAACTGTGAAACGGGTGTCAATGAGAAAGTGAAACCTCGCCTTTTCAAAGAAATCTTTGAAGCACATTCTGGGGATAACATTTCAGGATGATACGAGACGACTGTAGGCGCGGCAATGTGGTGAATACAGAAACAACCAGGATGATACGACATGACTGTAGGCTTGGCAAAGAGGTGACTTCATACTGATACACTGAGTCGATTTTTACTATCAAACCTAAGTAAAAATCAAAACATGAACTAAAGGGCAAATTACTTAAAATTCTAACAATAAGGGTAAATGGAGGGCACTCTCAAAGAATAATTTACAATACTCATAATAAAGGGGCGAAAGGGAGATCACTACTACAAAATAATCTGCGAAAATTCAAAGAACAAGAAAAGAAAATAGCAGGACAGTTTAAAGTTTTGATGGGAGGACTTTCACTGAATAAAAGGGCAGATGACTAGACACTCGTATAACAAAAGGGCAGATGACTAGACACTCGTATAACAAAAGGGCTAACTGGGAGGGTCTTGAGGAGAATAAAAGGGCTAATAGCCATGCATTGTACACCTCGCCGGGTGTTGTGGTGCTTCAAGTGGTGGGATGGTGTTGTTGTTTAAACCTTCATTGTCCGGGTGTCAGTATGATAGTTTAGTTTAAAGGTAGAGAATGATGGTGTGAGGGTTAGAAGGGTTAAGCGTGTATACAACACAGTGTACAATGGTTACTGACGCTATGGACACAACAACATTCTTGAAGAACTCTGACGTGTAATAGATGGTGTGGTGTATAAGTGGTACCGCTGTGTAGTGGCTGAGGTGTAGACATGGTGTGGCTATGGTATGACTGGTGTAAAGAAGGTGTGGTTGTGGTATGACCGGTGTAAAGAAGGTGTGGTTGTGGTATGACTGTGACGTTGGTGTGATGTAGCTTTGGTGTGGCTCTGGTATGGCTGTGTTGTAGCTGTGGTGTAGCTTTGGTTTGGCTCTGGTATGGCTGTGTTGTAGCTTTGGTGTGGCTCTGGTATGGCTGTGTTGTAGCTGTATTGTAGCTGTGTTGTAGCTTTGGTATGGCTGTGTTGTAGCTTTGTTGTGGCTCTGGTATGGCCGTGTTGTAGCTGTATTGTAGCTGTGTTGTAGCTTTGGTTTGGCTCTGGTATGGCTGTGTTGTAGCTTTGGTGTGGCTCTGGTATGGCCGTGTTGTAGCTGTATTGTAGCTGTGTTGTAGCTTTGGTATGGCTGTGTTGTAGCTTTGGTGTGACTCTGGTATGGCTGTGTTGTAGCTGTATTGTAGCTGTGGTGTAGCTTTGGTTTGGCTCTGGTATGGCTGTGTTGTAGCTTTGGTGTGGCTCTGGTATGGCTGTGGTGTGGCTCTGGTATGGCAGTGGTGTAGCTTTGGTGTGGCTGTGGTTTGGCTATGTTGTAGACGTGATGTGGTTGTAGTGTAAATGTTGTGCAGACATTTGTGGCGGTAGTTAGCTGTAATGTAGATGTGATGTGGTGTGGTTCTGGCGTGGTAACGCTTCACCAGACAAACCCCAGCAAGAGAAGCAGGAAAAAAAAACCTAAAACAACCTTACACTCCGCAGTGTCAGGCCCGCCATATGGACGGCCAACTGCGATACAGCACAGCACAAAAATAACCTTTTAGACGGCCGTAAGCCCTTAAACCCCACCCCCTTGCATAAATTACGATTGTCTTGAATGTTGGACGGCTAGAATTCTGCGACCCATAAACCGTGTTTCCTTAGGGCCGTCACTACTTTTAGCATTGTTCTCCCGTACAGGCAGACGGGCGCTGTATTCAAGTAGTCCTACACGGTGTGACGGGGATCAGGCCTGGGCTGGTGGGGGCTCAGGATCACTTCTAACAATGGAGATTACCTGACAGCACGTCCCCGCACAGGTGAGTCTAACTTCGCTGTTTCACCTGTAATTAAGTTCATTCATTTCTCTTCTCTATTATTTTTTTAAAGAATAGGGAGACACGCAAGAAAATGTATTGAAAAGCTATGTATTGTGTATTAGATAAGTAGGCCCATATATATATATATATATATATATATATATATATATATATATATATATATATATATATATATATATATATATATATATATATATATATATAATAGGTCTATGTATAAAGGTCTTTATATACACCCAAAATATAGGTCTATATAAACTTATATACATACTTTTACATATTGAAATCTGTTGGACAATCTATACGATATAAGTTTGTTGTTGTAGTTGATGGTGTGTGGTGCTGGCGTATAGTGGTTGTCGCTGATGTATGGAAGGGGGGGGGGGGGGTATCGCTGGCGTTTGGTGGGGTTGTCTAATGTCCCTGTTGTGTAGGGGGGGGGGCTATTAACCTGTGCTAACTAAAAACGGCTTACTCCGGGGAAGCCGGCTAACTATTGCAGTTACATTGAGTCTCGGATAACTTTGTATTAGTCGCAGTTAGAAATTTTAAAACTACCGAACGCCCTTAAACATGATACAGTACTTTTCACGTTTAGTTTGTTATGGTGTTTTAAACAATATAAACTGAGTGTTTTTTCAACGCCAAGGGTAGACGCAGGCTAAAATAACACTCAGTTAATGTTACTTTTTATATTCAGTAACAACGCCTGCTTCCAACCTTTCTTATGAGCTTTAATAAATAAGTTTTAAAGTTTATAAGAAAGGTTGGAAGCAGGCGTTGTTACTGAATATAAAAAGTAACATTAACTGAGTGTTATTTTTATGCAGCAACATAATGTCATGACAATATCTAAACGCTTAATGATGCCAACACGATGTCATTAAAATATCGCGATGATATAGAATAGTATAGAACAATACAGCATTATTGTAAGGATCATCATAATTTTACAATGGGACCTCAACGTTACCATAATGACATAATATAGTCCTACGATCAAAATATTATTTTATCAAAATGTCACAATAATCTATCATCAGGTCCCCTTTCCCCGATAAATCCACTCCATCACCATAATACCCCCTCAATGTCCCCATGTCACCACAATGTCACCATAATACCTCCTTATTGTCACCATAGTGTTACTATAATGTCACCACAACGTCATCATGATGTCACAATAATGACACCATAATGTCCCCGTAATGTCACCACAATGTCCCCAAAAAGTCACAATAATGTCACCATAATGTCCTCATAAGGTCAACATAATGTCAACATAATGTCACCATAATGTCACTATAATGTCACCATAATGTCACCACAATGTCACCACTAGGTACCATAATATCCGTACTCCCAGTCAAAGCACTAACCTCTACGACCTAGTAAACAGAACATACTTTAGCTCTAAAAAGAACATACTTTAGCTCTAAAGAGAACATACTTTAGCTCTAAAAAGAACATACTTTAGCTCTAAAGATAACACACTCTAGCTCTAAGACTCGACTGGAACAGGTTGCGACCACTGACTCTAATCTGACTCCTGCCGTGACTCTAATCTTGAGTCCAGCTGTGACGCAAATCTCGACTCCTGGCCTGGCCTTAGATATCTGGCAGAAATTATTAAGCCGCTCGTGTGGGGCGGGCATAAAACTGTCTCGATAGATGGCGAGTCCAGGGGCTTGGTCGCAGAATGCGGTGAAGGGGTGGGGGGAGGGGGTGTGACCAGGGGGGGGGGAGATAGCAGTGTGTTGTGGAGGGGGAGTAGGGTTGTGTGTTATGGAGGGAGTAGGGGTTATGGCGACGTGTTGTGGGGGAAGGGGGGGGGACGTGTGTTATTAGAGAGTGTAATAGGGGTTATCACAGGGGTTGTTGTGGGAGGGGGAGGGGTTATAGCTATGTGTTGAGGGAGGGGAGGGGTATGGCAATGTGTGGTGGGAGGGGGTTATACCTATGTGTTGAGGGAGGGGGAGGGGTGATGGCGGTGTGTTGTGAGAGGGGGAGGGGGTTATACCTATGTGTTGAGGGAGGGGGGGAGGCTATGGCAATGTGTTGTGGGAGGGGGTTATACCTATGTGTTGAGGGAGGGGGCGGTGTGTTGTGAGAGGGGGGAGGGAATTTATGGGGGAAGCGATAAGGAGTGTCTTGTTGGAATGGGGGAGATGTTTATTGTTGGAGAGGGGCGTTGTATTGTTGATTGATGCGGCAGGAGGGGGGGGGGGGTGTGCGGTGTGTTATGGAGCTGTCAGTGTGTTCTGCAGTAGTGGCAGACACTGTGTAATGTTGTATTGAGCTTGATATTCGCAACAACAACAAAAAATTGTCAGTTATTCTATTTTTTTGTCACGTCATCGCTCTCTATATTTCCCACTCTATTCGGAGCTTGATATCTTTATCTCATCCCTCCCCCCTTCCCCTCCCTCCCCCCCCCCTCCCCCTCCCTCCCGCTGAGCACCCTCCTTATCTCGCAACTCACTCGGTCAATCGTCACTGCACGTAACCGTCACGTGGTATGTGCGCGTGGTTTCGGGCTTGCCGGTGAGTATTTATAGCCGCACGCGAGTTTGGCGCATGACGCTCCCCGCCCCTGGGTGCCGAGGGGTGAGCACAGATCTGCTCATTCATGTCTGATATCAAATAATATTCCATTCATGCGCCTGTCTGCCTCGTTGGTACTGTCCTAAATATAACTCACCCCCCACCCCCCCCCCCCCACCACCACCATTACCACTCCCACATGTGGTTAAACCACACTGTAACCTTTAACCCCGATAACCACTGAGGCCGTTCCTTTGGTTATACACCACGTGATACTTGTTTCCTCCTCCTCCCCCCCCCCCCACCCTAACCCCCCCCCCCCTTCCCACAATAGAATATAAATCTTTGGCGTCAGGAGGACTGCGCGCAAATTGATCATAATGGACCAGCTTGCGAGATACTCCCTGCCCCCCCCCCCCCCCCTCGTACAGGATAAATCATGACCTCTCCTCCACCACCATTCCCACCCCCTCTCCTATAATCCCCTGTCAATCCCCCCCCCCACGTGACACCCGTCTCTGATTATGTACCGCACTAATTAGCATCCCCCTAACGTGCTATCTAGCCTTTCAATTTGCATATTGCTACGGTGTAAGGTGACGTTTGTAACATGGTGACACTTGGTGGTGTCTGCAAAATGGTGTCACGAGTGGTGTCTGTGCGGTGTTGTAGAAGTTCTTTTTTTATTGTTTCACCTTTTATATCAAATACTACACCACACACCTTACAACTCATTACACCTTACACCACACAGCTTACAACTCACTACACCTTACACCACACAGCTTACAACTCACTACACCTTACACCACACAGCTTACAACTCACTACACCTTACACCACACAGCTTACAACTCACTACACCTTACACCTTACACCACACAGCTTACAACTCCCTACACCTTACACCACACAGCTTACAACTCACTACACCTTACACCACACACCCTACAACTCATTACATCTTACACCACACACCCTACAACTCACTACACCTTACACCACACACCTTACAACTCACTACACCACACACCACACACCCTACAACTCACTACACCTTACACCTTACACCACACATCTTACAACTCACTACACCTTACACCACACACCCTACAACTCACTACACCTTACACCACACAGCTTACAACTCACTACACCTTACACCTTACAACTCACTACACCTTACACCACACAGCTTACAACTCACTACACCTTACACCACACAGCTTACAACTCACTACACCTTACACCTTACACCACACAGCTTACAACTCCCTACACCTTACACCACACAGCTTACAACTCACTACACCTTACACCACACAGCTTACAACTCACTACACCTTACACCACACACCCTACAACTCATTACATCTTACACCACACACCCTACAACTCACTACACCTTACACCACACACCTTACAACTCACTACACCACACACCACACACCCTACAACTCACTACACCTTACACCTTACACCACACATCTTACAACTCACTACACCTTACACCACACACCCTACAACTCACTACACCATATACCATACAGCTTACAACTCACTACACCTTACACCATACACCTTACAACTCACTACACCTTACACCACACACCCTACAACTCACTACACCATACACCATACAGCTTACAACTCACTACACCTTACACCATACAGTGGAATAGTCTGAAGCTTACAAAATACTGCAACGTCAGCAGTTTTCAAATTATCGGTCATGGGGTGTGTCTAAAGTCTGTAAAAAGTCTGATAGAGAACTCTGTCTCAGACTCTCTTATCTGGGTTTCTCTCTCGCTCTCTACATGTCTCTCCAACTCTCCCTCCCCCTCATTCCCCCTATTTCACTCTTCCCCCTCTCTCTACCACACTGTTTCCCTTATATTCTCACACACCCTCCCCCACACCCTCTCCCACTCTCTGTCCCACTCTCTGTTCATCCCCTCTATCTCTCTCTTCCACACTGCTCGTGCTCTCTCACACACCCTCTCCCATTTTGTCCTATTTTCCTCCCCCCTTCCACGTACAAACACAGACACACTTGCATGTAATTACATTAACGTCTACCTACATACAAGCAAACGTACAATTATTTTTTTATAAAATCAGGTGTCATGCTATCGTTGTGATTACCTCTTCAATCATCAACTTAAACTCTTCGATGATTAAGTTTACCTCTTCAATGGTTAAGTTTACCTCTTCAATGGTTAAGTTTACCTCTTCAATGGTTAAGTTTACCTCTTCAATGGTAAAGTTTACCGCTTCAATGGTTAAGTAAAACTCTTGTTAAGTTGACATTTTGTGACCTTCTAACATGTCAGTAAGTTGACCTCTGCTATGTAAAATTAACCGCTGCTATATTAAATTATAAGTTGACCTGTCCTATAGCACTTGCTAATTTGACCTGTCCTATAGCACTTGTT